AAAATCATATTGAGTCTTTGGTTGCAGGAAGTGGTTTGCACCCACTTTGGTGTGGGTGTGATGACTGATAGTACTCAATTGTGCTTTAGTATCCTTCTAAAAAATAAGATCTTTATTATATACGCTTGTTTAACTTATAGCGGTCTGAATTCATATGTGGAATGAAGGTTATATTTTTGGGCCCATTGCAGAGTTTTTATTGCATGTTAAGACTTTTTGATCACTGTTTGATGGGAAGGGAGTAACATTTCAGGTGGTGGCTGTACTTTGAAGTGTTTGGACCAAAATTGCCAAGTGTCAGCTGTTGTGTGTAACTCTCAATGTGAGTGTTGTTGTTGTCCTCACTCCAGGCAACTACAGGGCAGTAAACCATGGAACAGGCGCACAGGCAGTTGCTGCAAAATCTGATGAATTTGTGACCTAATGTACCTGCATCCTCTGCCTCACAAATTTGTATGTCCTCACAAACTTACAAAGATAGTCTGTTCTTTACGTAAATGGAGCGTTTAAGCCAGAGGTGGTCACAAGCAGCAGTAGATGTTCCCATCTTCCCTGGAATCCCCCCCCCTGCCAAATGTCAGCCCAGTCCTCGGAAGAGGGGTTTGGTGGTACAGTTCGCTCTTCTTGGACATAGTAAAATGGAGAGTGTAGTGGGTTTCTGTGGCTGGGTTTTGGTAGCGGGGAGGGCTACAGGGGTGGCTTCTGTTAGAAGCTGCCAGAAGCTTCCCCTGTCCCATGGAGCCGATGCCAGCCGGCTCCAGGATGGACTTCCTGCCGCTGGCCAAGGCTGAGCCAATTAGGAGTAACAGTAACACCTCTGTAATAACATATTTAAGAAAAGAAGATTGTTGCACAGAAGAAATGCCAGCCAGGGAAGAGTGGAGTGAGAACATGGGAATAACAAAGTAGACACCAAGACCAGTGCAGAAGGAGGGGCAGGAGGTGTTCCAGGTGCTGGAGCTGAGGCCCTGTAGCCCGTGGTGCAGACCATGGGGGAGCAGCTGTGCCCCTGCAGCCCATGGAGGAGCCCATCCTGGAGCAGGTGGATGCATGAAAGAAGCTGTGACCCCGTGGGAGGCCCAGGATTGAACGGGGTCCTGCTGGAGACCTGCGTCCCGTGGAGAGGGAAGCCCACGCTGGAGCAGGTTTTTCCCGGGTAGGACTTGTGGCCCCTGTGGGGGACCCACGTCATTACAGCTCATTCATGAAGGACTGCACCCCATGGAGGAGTGACCCACAGGACAGCAGTTTGGGAAGAGCTGCTGCCCGAGGGATGGACTCACGCTGGAGAGGTCCATCAAGGACTGTGTCCCGTGGGAGGGACCCCACAGGAGCAGGGGAAGGACTCCTCTCTCTGAGCAGCAGCAGAAACAACAAGTGACCACAACCCCCATTCCCTGTCCCCCTGCACTGCTGGGGGGGAGGAGGGAGAACGTGGAAGGAAGGAGGGATGGGGGGAAGGTGTTTTTTAAGACTGTTTTATTTCTCACTCTTTGGCTCTTATCCTGTTAGTAATAAATATAAGTACTATCCCCCCTTTGAGTCTTGTTTTGCCCGTGAAGGTAATCAGTCACTGACCTCTCCCAGCCCTTATCTCTAGTCATGAAATCTTAGCTGGTTTTTTTTTTTTTCTTTCTCTCTCCTCCAGTTGCAGAGAGAGAGTGAGTGAGCAGCTTTAGTGGGTACCTGGTATCTGGCCAGGGTCAACCCTGACAAAAATCTTCTGCTGTTTTCTCTATTCCGCAAACCAGACCGTTCATTGAAGAGCTACAAAGAACACAAGATTCCTTAGATCTAAAATAAATGACTCTGAGAGACTGTCCCTTCAGAGGGGGTCCCTTGTTATCCCTGCAATGATGATACACTCACATGCATCAAGTACTTCTGTGATTTCCATTCAGGCTAAGGGAATATTAGGTTTGGGGTGTTATAAATTATTAGACTGAAAATCTTCTAAATTTTTTCCATTATAGAAATTGTTATGTTTCACTAATAGCCTTCTAAAAAGCAAATGATACTGAAAGCAATCTGGTAAATAACTCCTTTGTTCAGTTAATTGGCTTTGTTCATCTCTGCTTCAGATTTTATTCATACAAATTCTCTCCACTTATTGAAAACATGACTGCTTGTAAGCATGGTGGTGTTAGGTGGCCCTTCAGTAGTAGCTTTGAAGATAAACCAAGATGTGTCATAGCCAGATCCGGCTCATTGTCACTTTTTTCTAAACCATCTACTAATGAGGTGATTTTTTTTCCCCCTTGTTTACATGAAGCACAGTTTCAGACTAGACTCTTCAGGCACATGCCTTGCTTCTGTCAAAATGCTGCCAATAATTTCAGTTGAAGAGGATAGAGCTATGCATGGGAAATGCTTCACAACAAAGCTGATGGATGGATCTGGCATAAGCTTTGTTTTGTACTTCTGTTCTTGGATCGAGAGCTGAGAAAATCTCTTTAATTTCCTGTTCAATGAATATAGTAGATGTAATATACTTCTCAGGCAGGCTTTTTGTTGTGAGGATGTGAATGACGTTGGGGCTTTTTTGCCACAGGTACAGTGTTTAAGTTGTCAATAAATAAAAATCACAGTAGGCATTCGGAATGTCTTCTTGCAAAACTTAGGAAAGGAATTGTACCTGCCTTCATGCTTTGATTCGTGCTGGATCTTCTCCTTGTTTTCCACAAAAATAACCTTGCCCTCTGTAATGTGAAAAAGAAAAGCTGGAAAAGAACCTTAATTTAAAATCATTAAATCTGAGAAATATATCCCAGACAGGGCTGCATGAGACATTGCAAGAAGTGTCCCTGCAGGACTGGCTTTTCTCTCATCCCATAACCTACTCAAATCCACTCCACAGAGGCAGAATCCACTGGTATTCTGACAACTTTTTCTTATGCTTTATTTGGGGGTTTTTTAGCCTATAATGGAACTAACAGAATTGCTTATCTTGCCCAATGAGTTTCTAAATGAGTTTCAGTTGGGTAGTTGCATTTAAGAAGTCAGGATTTCAGTATCCCCTCTGTATTTAAGTGGGTTATGATACTGTGCCTCAGGGCTCAGTTGTGATGCAGTGAAATAACTTTATGGAAGGTTACAGAACAAACAGTTACACCAAGTCATTGAGGTCACCCCTGCTTTGGCACAGGCAAGTAGAAGGAGCAGTATTCACTGAGAGATTTGATGTCAGGCAGTCAGGTGGGAGGTTTAAATGAAACCTTCAAAAAGGCATCCTTTTACCTTTTACATGTACGATTCATAACCCAAACTGCTGGCTCTTCATGGGACCTTTTTTTTTTCAAGAAGCCTTAAAATATGACTTCTTAAATTTATTTACTTGGATTCTTCTCTTTAATTTGTATGCACAACAGGTTGACTCCTCCAACAATTAGATGATCAGCTGGCAAAGAAATGTCATTCTGAAATGCAGCCCAGCTAAAGCTGTCACTGAATGGTAGTGTGAGCTGTAGTCCATGTTGGTAGAGCAGAGGATGAAAACTGCACTGCACAATGCCTGTGTGATTTTTCAAATTCTGCTATTGTTTTAAAAATCCATGCCCCACATGTCAGTCATCTCTTGTCAAAACAAGGCCTCTGACCAAGAGCCTTCATTGAATAAGAATTATTCAACGTAATGTGATCCAGAAGCTCACAAACCAGGAACTTCTCAAACGTGGCATGGGAGGAATTATTTTTTTCTTTCATTTGTCTTGAAGTTAATATATGCAGCTTCTCAGGCATGAGCGGATGAGGGGAGGAAAAAATAGGTTGTGAACATTATAGTTTATCCAAATGCTTAGGAATGAGTAGTCATGTTTTCCCAAATTATGCAACTGATTCAAAAATAATGATATATTTTAAAAATTATGCCTTTGGGATTTATGCCTTCTGGATAAAACGCTCATATCATTTTCATGTTTTTCTCAGCAATTCCAAGAATTATAAAACTACTATTTAAAAAGATACCAACAATTCATAAATATTCTCTTTTCTTCTTGTTTCTGGAGTTTTCACTGAAATGTCTAGCGTCACCAGAACTGGAGAATTTAGTAGCAATATAACTGATGTAAATTGAATTCCTTCTTCCCTGTGCCCTCCCTCTGCTCCTGCTAAAATGTTGGAATACTTTGGTAATGTAGACAGTGAGGGATAACAGTGGGAATAATGGTATCAGGTAAGTTTACTAAATGCCTCTAAAACCAGGACTACAGGTTGTTCAGTACAAAGGCAGAGATTAATGTGACAGTTAAAAAAATTCCTTTGCCCACTCAAATTTTAGAACAAAACTAGATTTTTTTTTCTCTCTCAAAATCCTGCCACCCTCTTCAGGAAGGGTAGGGTTCCACTCTGAAATTTCTATGTGCCTTCCATGCATGTGAAAACACTTCAAGTCTTGGCAGTATCCCACCACACTTTAGTTAAGAAATAATCCTCCATTTTTCATCATCCTGAAGTTGATCAGCCAAATTGCTCATGATGATATGTTGCAAGGAACTGAAACCAAAGCTCCTAGAAGGGATCAGTATAGTAAATGTGCTTTTCCCTGTCACTGTCATATTTGCCTCATCAACAGGCAGCAAAGATTGAATTGTTGACTATTGGAAGGTATGGCTGTGCTGGCATTTTCCCACAGTGGGGTGTTAGCCCACAGCAAAGACACTGATCATAAGACTGAAATTTTGCTCAGTTTGGGCTTGGACAGTTTTGATTTCCAAGTAGAATCCATTATGATTTGCAGGTAGGAGAGGTGGTGCTATGGAGGAAAGAATTTGGGGAGCTCTGGTATTTCAGCTACAGCTTGCCTCTAATTAATGAGTTCATGTCAGAAGACTGTGTTAACAAGAATGAAGTAGGATTTTCCGCATTCACAGTGCAATTTAAAGTCTTGCTTTCAAATTACACGGTGTTCCTATTTTCCAACCTTTGCAATAATGTGATGTAGGAAGGAACATGGGAGCCCTTGTGTGTGTTATTTACCGCGTTGCTTTGTCTTCCCTTTCCAGCACTTACAGAACCCGGCAAACTTCCATAATGCAGCAACAGAGCTCCTGGACTGGTGCGGAGACCCCAGAGCCTTCCAGAGGCCGTTTGAGCAGAGCCTGATGGGTTGTTTGACGGTATGTCCACTCCACTGTGATGGTGGTTCCCGTTCTGGTTGTGGTTTATACTGTGTGCAATCTGTCGTGGCCGAGGGAACTTGATTTTCAGAGTCTGTGTTTTGTGGGATTTTTTTTCATTTTACCCTAAACAAATGAAGCCGGACCCTAACAACGGTTTATTTGACTCCATCGCTTAACAGGAAGCACGATGCAGTAACAAGAAGCTAAAGCATAAAAGGAATAAACCTTTTTAGTTAGATTACTTAAAAATGCACAGGCTAGGTTACTTGTTATGCACATACAACATTTATTTCATAGTTAGAAATTGCTAAGTGAGCCATGTTCTTATGAAGTTAATGGACTTTTCAGGTATTTATTTTCCTTTGGCATTTTTGGTAGGACTGAAGAACTTGTCTTATATTCTAAGTAAGCTGTGCTTTCAGCTAAACGGCGTTACTGACATGCCTGTTCAGCTTACTTTGTTACGTATATTGACCGCAGGTCTAATCCTGACATACTAATTCCAACAGTTTTATTGATTTCAGTGCTTTTCTTTACATTCAGTTTTTATTAAGACCACTGTAGTTCCTAAAGCAACTTCATTATAATGCATTAAAATACGTATTTGTGTGCACACAACAGCATTTTTTGTTTTGAAAATTTTATTTCCCGCACACCCAGCAGCAGCAGTCCAAAATTGTTACATGGAGTCAAGACTTTAGAAGAATTAAATTGTGACTGGAGCAGGAGTGTTCAAAAGCCTCACTGCAATTTGCCAAACAAGTTGATATAAATAAATAGTCACAAAGGAAAGCGAAATTCTAAAATGATTAATGAAGCAACCATCATCATATTTTTTGGAGGGAAGAAGTGTGTGGATTATTTTCATGCACTACATAGCTGATATATGTAAAGCAGACACTAAGACTGAGACTTAGTTGCCAGAAATCCAAATGTTAAGGAATGGCTCCATCTTAATGTGCTCCGGTGTATAGCATCCCTCAGATTTCTATGTCAAAAAATTCAGAATAAATGCAGTGATATAAGGAGGTGCATATCATTCTGCCAGTCAGAGAACGAATGAAATAAAGTTAAAATGTTAATATTTTTCAAAGATAAGATATTTAACAATTCTGTTTGAAGTAAAAGTTATCTGTAACATCAATTATGAGGAAAAGATCATAATATCCGATATGACCATACCTATATTTTATTTACACTTTTTAAAAATTTTGCTAGCATTTTTCAGGGTAGTATTTGGGAAAGGAGACATTCACCTCAAGTATAATTAGGCATCCTGTGCACAGTATTTTTCTGCAGCCCCCTGCTAGAACAGTGTAAATCTGACCTGCAACTTCCTTGCTGTTTCAACCTTTTCTTTCTACGTAAGCAGATCTGCAGCCCTGCCCAAGTGCAGGGTCAAAATAAGGTCTGACTGCCAGTGATTCACTCTGTTCACAGAGTGTACAGAAAGTGAGCAGGAAAAGCTCCATGAAAACTAGTGAGGTAAAACAGACAATACCTTGTTTACAGTGTATTGAAATGAAAATACTATCTTTCTTCTGACAAGAAGGAAAGAAAAAAATCTTACTATCTAAATACCGTTAATATTTGAACCTCATGTATTGCTTTGCTTCATAGTTCTCCCTGAAATATGAACAGGGTGGTGTGTCCCCCTTTCCCAAGCTTGTTGTGGGAGAGAACTATCTGCAGTGTAGGACTGACTGGCAGCAGCATCTTTATCACATTTTGTAATCTCATTATATTCCTGACAAGGAAATAACACAGGAACTTAACTAGGTGGCTTGTTCTGTTTTAGATAAATACATGGGATTTGCAGAACGCATATAAACTGTGATGAGTATGTTTCTTGTTCTTAATTTCAAAATTCCTCTAGGGAATATATTCTTTAATTTCTCACTATGGACATCCCTCTTCCTGCTTCCCTTCAAACAGGCTTAACTGCGTGGTTGTACTCCAAGAAGTTGGTACTTCCTGTATCTTCTAATAGAATAGCAGTGCGGTGGGCAAAGTCTCCTTTGTTTTATTTTATTTTCATTTTACTCCTAACAAGAATTCTTTCTATCTGAGTTTGCACGTATGTAATTTCTTTCTGTAAGGTATATTTTCAGGCTTGTTGTTCTCTTACAGGAAAATGGGTTTATGTATTTTATTTAACAAACATGATAGAACTCCAGCCTGTTTCCAGAGAAATTATTAAGAAAGTTGCAAATAAGTAAAAGACAGCTGAAATACTGGAATATCATGAGTAACTTTAACAGCTTGCTTAGATGCCTGTCCTATACTACCAGGTACAAGTTTTCTTTAATGCTGAATAGGTTTATCAGTGTCCTTCTTTGTGAGGATTATGCTAAAAGAAAAATTAAAAATCAGTATGAAAGTGTGTTCAACCACTGAAACAGGATTATTGTTTTATTTTGCCAGTCTTTAAAATGAGCTTCAAAACCAAATTCCCTTAACAATTCCATATATTTGGATATACTTTTTAAAGCAAGTAATCTCTCCAATCACTACAACATTTGAGCTGGGTGGTTTCAAAAGGCATTTAATTTGGAAATTCTACAAATACTAAAAATTCTTGCTTGCTTATAAGGCTTCCCTTCTGTAGTATTCAGAATATTTTTTTTTATTTTTTATGACATTCTGTTCTGTTAACTCTCTGACCAGGGAAAAAGTGGTATGCTAAACTGTCCTGGAACCATCAAGGGATATGAAATCATCATGTCCTATGAGTGGATAACACAATATATACTAATCCAAATTGAAACATATTAATATGTCGTGACTGCAGAAGGACAAGCTCTCTCAGAAATGTTCAGGCTATCCATTCACACACTGGAAAGTTCAAATGCATCAGGTGTAATGACAGAGCATCAAAACCGATCTGTTTTCTTATGAATAACCAATTAAATGGTACCTCTGGTATAACAACTCTTTGCATCATTTAAGTCTTATCTGTAGTCTTTTGCAAAAAATTAACCAGTTCAATTTAATCCTATTAATAAAAGAAAAATATGCTCACAGTCTCGAAATTATGCTTTAAGAGCTGGTTCCTAAAAGTTGTTCTGTTTACCCAACATCTTGGTGTCGGGACTGTAAGTAATGTCTGGTTCACTTAATAACACCTGTATGTTTTTATTCCTGTTGCCTGCATCTTACACACCCTGGATAGATGCAGAAGTTTGATCTTAGGAATATTCTGCCTGGGCATTAGCAGAAAAGCTTCCACCTTCATTTATGGAATTGCTGGATTTGATAATACACACACACACACACACACACACACATATATATATATAGGCTGTTATAGAAGGTTTTCTTAAATGCCAGCACTTAGGGAAATCTCGATGACTTGAAAGTTTCATGCATTAGCTAAACAGGAAGTGTTGAACAACAGTATGTGTCTAGTGTTTGGTTTTCCTTGGTCATTTTTTTTCTCTTTTAGAATAATATGTGCACAGTAAACATACTGGCTATTAGCAGTAGATAGCTTGATATTACTGGAGCTACACTTGCTACTATGGGCTCCAGTGATGTTGTATGCAGCATAACAGGAGTGATTTTTCTTATCTCAAGAACAAACTCAGGATTTGTTACAGCAGCTAAGGTATGTAAACTTCATTTAACTAGTTAAATACTTTGTGTTTGTTATATAGGATCCTTTAAATGATTGCTGTTTTAGAGGTGAAATAATTTCTGTTTATGATAAGGAAATTAGGCTAATGCTGTCAAGGCCTACAAATAAAACTGGAGTAATTCTCAGTAATTTGCAGTGCAATCAAAGAGAAAAGGTTTAGGGTACACAGGTGAGCCAATGGCTTGTGCTATAAAAGGAAAATATTTTTCCATGAACTAAGCCCTAAAAGCTGAGCCCACTTTTGGCCAAAACGTCTGTGACTGCATATGCATTGTCATTATGTTCAAACAGTTCTAGCAGACACCAATTCTAGAGCTTAACTTTTTGTACTTACCCATTACAGGAAATCACCAAAGTGAGTGCGTAATAAAAGTTTATAAAGAAAACACATTTCAACAGATAAATAAAAAGTCAAGGATAGAGTGGTAAGCTTTGAATCTGTTTCGTTCCTTGCAAGCTACAAGCTACAGAAAGGTTCCCTTAAACAGCTGTTACTGAAGTCATGCAAATGAATTATGATCTTTCTCAGAGACAATAAAAGCTCTTCTGACTGGCCAAGAAAAACTAGGTGTTATTTTTCAACAGTAGTTATTTTCAAATCAAATACAACAGTCTGTAGGCCAGAAACTAAATTATAATTGAAATCATTGATTCTATAAATTATTGAAACTGCAATGGATATGGTGCTCTTTGGTATGTAATATTACTTCTTGCATAGTGTTATGGCGAGCTAATTAAAACAGCCTCCATTTTCCACAAACCAGATATAGCTGTGTTTTCATTAACAATTTCTGATTCTAGCACTAGATTACATTATGGCAAGGCTGATAGTCTTGATAAATTTAAGGCTATCATTCTCTAAAAATGTACTGTATATGGCATTACCTTATGGTCTCCTGAAAGAAACAGGTTCAGTTATACACAGCAGTTGAAAAAAAATAAACCTATTTCGGTTGGACAAGGTTGTTTCATCTGTTTCTGCCTCTTCTCAGGTCCACTCTAGTCTCGTCCCATGGGTCTGCTCTTGCGAAGCAGTTTAACATGTAAATGATCTTCCTGGAGGCATTGGCTAACATTTGTGTTGGTGCTGCAGCAGAAATGGAAATGAGGGGACAGCTGAGAGCAGAATGGACAGATTTACAGACTTGTCTTCAGTGAACGACAGTAAAGGCACTGCCTTGTTCTCTTCCTGTGCTTTAGCGTTACAAGGCACCGAGTTTATTGTTCTTTAGGGCTCTTCAGTGTGTCCAACAAAGAAATAAAAGGGTGAGAGAAGCAGAGCTCTGTGCAGTTCCTCTGTAACTGTACCTAGGGGCTTAGTCTAAGAAATTAAAATCCAGCACTACAACAGTTTTGGACA